AGTGAGGATTAAGCGGCGTATAGATAATGGATGGATGGATGGAACTTAATTGCCAAATCGAAACTGGAGACTGGGGACTTACAAATTCAATTCAAATAACTTTATCCCCTTGGGGCAATTCAAAAATGCCAGATTCATGTATGCTTTCATGCCCATATGCACACTGAATAGTTATCAGTTACTACAATCATTTCTTCTGCCAACATTGATAGATGCGGTTAAAGGTTTTCCTTCCTACAGTTACATCACTGAGAGATGTGAGGTCAAATAAAGAGTTCCCACTCTGTCCAAAATCCTCAGATCAGCTCAAGTCAAAACGAGACTTCATCAGTCTCAGATAAATAAGGTGGATGTTTTCAAAAGTTGTAGCTTTGATAGATGCTGATATGATGGACTCAGAAGTCTGTAAATGACAAAGTGCAGCAATGCCTGAGGGATGTCAGTATTGATCGGTGGAATGATTACTAATGATCAATAACCCTTTCAGTGTACAGATGGGCATTTGAGCAAAACTTCAAGAAAAAACCCAAACTTTCCAGCTTCATTCAAACCCTTTAAATGAGGAAGCATTGCTTATGGTGGCTCGGTTCTTACCTCTGTAGTCTCTCGCCGGCACGTTTGGAATCGGTTTGCTTTTCAGTCTGTCATACGCAGAGAAACACAAACATCAGCAGCAGATAAAAATACCGATTTATCGAGACATGGACTGAGATTTAAGGCGACACACTACAGGTGAATGGGGTGAAAATGGGAACTAATAACTATGACCATGAAACATCCCCAGTCTGTAACTTAGTTATGCAAATAAGCTAAATATGCTGTAATTTACATTAATTTCCAGATCACACATCTGAACCTTGATAAGGTCAGGTCCAAAAATCTAGAATCAAAGGTGTTTACAGAGGGTTTTTTGGGGGGACATCTCTTTTTATCACTTCCATAAATCAGAAAATACTGTCAACAGCCCAGGAATAAAAAAATCTAGTCTATTTTTGTCTCATTTTTAGGGATAAAATAGTCTAAATAAATGTGTCACATATAAACAAACCTCCATGTCAAGGCCTTGGAAATACAGATAGAAATAAAACTTGGTGTCTGTAAGTATGAAGTGATGATTACTGACTCACGATCTTTAAAGATGTGTCTTTTAGAATTCCTTACAGTGTTATTGGAAACAACCATTTACGGGTTAAAAAAAAATACAGATAAGGCCAGGAAACTTGTTTTTTGAATTAAATATTTTCAGAATTTTTTTCTTTAAATCTGCAAATTAGGCATTAGCTTGTTAAATATGAACTAATTTGCTTATACATGTATTAATACAGGCTGGGATAGACTCCAGCCCTCCTGCAACCCTAGTGAGGATTAAACAGTGTATAGATAATGGATGGATGGATTTATTAATACACCTAAATGTGCATTTCTAATGTCAATTGTCTGAAAGAAGGTTTGTTATAAAAGCAAAATATCCCCCAAAATGGCATTTTTTTCCCCCTGTCGTGTGTCACCTTAAAATATTAAAGTGTAATCATTTGACGGCTAATATTTTTTCACATTTTATCTGCGAGTATCACAGCAGACACGTGTGCCGTATAGCTGTGGGAGGATTATATTTATACGGGCGCAGTGGAGAATAAATGGCTTCTGTAACGCATGTGTCAGTTTCTATCTTTATGTGTCTTAAGGGGACTCATTTCAGGAAAGGAAAGTGAGAGAAAAGCCATCTGTTTTAGCTATTTTTACTTTGCGTCTCTCTCTCTCTTTTTATTCCAACGGCTGTGAAAGAGGAATTGGCATTCTCCACTGATGCATGTATACAAACCACATGGAGCATTTTTAGATCACCAGACTTCTCAGAGATTTGTCTCCCACGTTACAAGACGCATACATTTCCACTGACATGTTTCCACTGCGTGTTTTCCATCCGTGATATTAACATATGATACTTATACAATAAAAAAAGTGAAATTCTTAGAGACCGACCTTCTCAGTTTGTTGAGCAGGCTGCCGTCGTTTTTCTTGATGTCTTGGACAATCTTCTGAAGCTGCCTGGAAAGCACAAAATTTGGTGTCATACAGGGAAAGACATATGTGGAAAAAGTAAATTTTTGCAGAATTACAAGCCAAACAGCAGTTTCAGACTTGTTTGTGCTGTTTTTCAGCTTTGAAAGGTGCTTTGAAGAGTTTTTTTTTTAAGCACTCACACTTATTTCTTCATCTATGGTTAATATTATATTTTGATGCTTACAAAGCATCCATTTGCATTCTCCTAATGACACGCCATTCTTTTCCCAAGCTTATGCTCTTTTGCTGGCAAAAATGTAATAAATGGTTGTTTAGTTTTTGTGCCAAATACTCTTTAATCGATAATAACAAACCAATGAGTTAAAAGTGACAGTGCGTCCAAATCCACAACAGGTTCAAAAGTTAAAATCTTCTTACCGGATCTTTGCCGTGGCAGGAGAGGCGAGTTTACCCAACGTTTCCATATTCATGTTTAATCCGACAGTTAACTTTTTAGGCCTCATTCCTCTCACGCATTACGTCTGTGCTGCCACATTGTTCGCAGAATAGTAAATGAACGCTGTGCTTGAAAAGTCACGTCTCTTGTCACAGAGGGGAGGGAATTTGTCGTAGGTGCCGCTGTCAGAAAAATCACTTCTCTTTTCTACTCCCCTGCCACTGACACAAAAACAGATTTCAGTGACCGCACTTTCAGCAAACCCCTTGCATCACATCTTCCACCCTCCAGACGCCGCCGTGTAAACAGCTGCAGAGAGGAGGCCTTCAGGTTGGCCTGGCCGTGTCCTCTAACTGTTTAACACACAAATGCCTCTTTAGTTTCTTAACATTGCATCATCTGCAAATAACTGCACAAAAGGCATTTTATCATCACTGATTCTGCTGGTGGACATCACTCCCACACATAAACTGCTTTAACTGAAGCACTTTTGTGGATGTTCACGGACGCTGTTTTGGCTGTAAAATGGGTTTATGTGTACAGTCATGACTGTTGTGTCACGGAAAGTACCGTGTTGTAATCTTGAGTATTTTCTATATATAGAAAGTTTAAAAAAAAAAAAAAAAAAGATTGTGCAGCTTTTCCTGTGAGCCGAGCAGGATGATGATCCACTATATTATATGTGTGTGTGTGTGGTCACCAAGGGGATTTTGTTCCCTAATAAATGTCTGCCTTAACCTTTGATAGCAGTCAGCATTAGAGCAGAAACCAGGAAGCTGTCTGCGGTGAGGAACATCTACATTGTTCAAGAAGTAAAGTTGACAGCTTTGGATTTTTAAGGAAGCATCTGTGTGTGACACAATGAGAAGAACAAAAAGACTTGAAGTTTGAAGCTGCTTGTTGGGTAGTAATGTGAAACTAGGGGGCACATATATGCCTCCACAGTACAGGGAATGTAATGTCCTGTCACACCAGAGAGCGTTTTCCAATTCATTCTCTATGTGGAGGGTCGTGTTGTGGGTGAGTGAAGTTTCTTTTATTGTGTGGACGAGCACGAATTGTTGTTTTAATGTCCAACTGGATGTGAATGACCTTTTCAAATTCTGGTCTTCATTGAATGCCGCCGTGTGTAGAAGGATCTAATTATACATAATGTCCTGGTTCAACAATTGCTTGAATGGAAACAGGAAACACAAGAAGAAAGAATGGAAGTTCAGGACTGACAAGCTTACGCTGAACCAAAACATAAACACCGTATGCAAATGGTCGTTTTCCAGAAAAACAGGCGTTGTTGGTTCAGTTTAGTCAGTGGTACACAGAACTGGTGACACATTCTTGATCACTACGTTAATCCCCGTTTGGCTTTAAAGGACAATGATCAGATAGTGACCAGTACACAACTGCTCTTCTGATCCGTGACCATAAAAGGCCACCTTAAAATGCAGCTTTATTCAAATGAAACGAAGAGGAAGATGAGAAGAGGCCGTTTGCTGCCGGATGCTGGTGTGTCAGTTAAGTCTGAAGTCCACAACTACACTGCTGAAGTAGACTCAGACGGCTCTGGATGGACCAGTGTCCAGTAACGTGTGCATGTGCTCCAAAATGAAATATTACCTGCCGCATGCATATTTTTTGTCATGTGTACAATTCATTATCACCTAAATGTCCCAAAAACTGACCATTATCAAATCAAATCAGGCTTATTGTCATTTTGCTGTACATACGACAAGATGAGGGAGCGGTGCTTCAGGATCATTTAATTTGTAAGTTTTGCGGAATGAACATCTGGAATAGGCAAGACACTAAACGCTCAGTCTCACTGTTTCCTAAAGGGGGCGCCATCAATCATCAATCATCAATCATCATCATTAGTGATTTAACTAAAACTGTTACAAGCATCATCCTGACTCACTTAGATGTGAAATGAACTTGGAAACTGATTTT